TTGTGAGAATTTTTGGCAATCGCTTGATACGTATGCATACAAATCGGAATGGCAAGTAAAGTGTATACCGATAAGAAACGCTTTCTGTATGATGGTTGAATACTAAATAGGAGTCGATACCTGTCAGGAAAATATTCGAATCAGTAATTAGCAGTGAACTTGGTTGATATCATTAATAATTGGTTCATACTTACTAGAGGTGCACCACCTCGCGACCACGAGGTCCCCTTCTCTCCCACCTATGTGTAGTATCTAGACACCTCCAGTAATTAGTTAATTTTGTCTTTGCCGTCTCATGTTCTGTTTTCCCGGCCATGTCACATAAATGCCTAAATTTTGCTCTGGAGATCTATTTCCGATTTTCAATGCCAGCTCCAGTGCGAGTTAAAATTAAGGTCAGCCCCACTGTCAGCTTCGGTGTCGGCTCAAATATATACCAGCTCTAGCTGGAGCTGCCCGAATACCATCTCTAATGCCCACTCCAGTGCCAGCTCCATTAGATACCGGCTCCAGTGCCAGCTCAGATACATGCCAGCTCCAGTGTCCACTTCTCTGCAAGCTCCAGTGCCCGCTTCGCTTCCAGCTCCAGTACCAGCTCTGATGCCGCTCCGGTGGCAGCTCCGGTACCCGCTCCAGTATCCGCTCCGGTGCCAGCTACGGTGCCAGCTCTAACCCTCACTCCTGTGCCCGCTCTTGTGCCCACCCCTGTTCCCGCTCATGTTCCTGCTCGTCTTCCCGCTCTTGTGTCCGCTCCGGTGACCGCTCGAGTGACTACTCCGGCGTTCGCCTCGATGCCAGCTCCTGTGCCAGCTCCAATGCCAGCTCCAGTGCCAGCTCTGATATATTCCAGCTTCCTTCACCGTTCCTCCACCACACTGGCACCTCCTCTTCCCCTCTTACTGGTCTTCTCTCTCCCTCTTCGCACTCCCCGCCAACTACTGTTCGTCTCTCTCGCCTATTCTGCTCATATTTGACTACTAAATAGCTATATTTATTATTTAATCATAAAGGGTTCCGTTGGTTGGGCTGGTCTCATAGGTAAGGTCAGGGTTAGGGTTTGGGCTTGGCAGGAAAATAGGCAGGGTAACGGCCCTGAGCAGGCAGGGTAACGCCCAAAAAAGGTAGTGTAACGCCCAAAAAAGGTAGGGTTACGCACAAAAAAGGTAGGGTAACGGCTCAGAGCAGGCAGAGCAACCGCACTAATCGGGTAGGGTAACCATCTCAAAATAGGCAGGGTAACAGAACAAAATCGGGCAGGGTAACTGCACCAAACACACGAATTTGATGTGTCGTGCTTACAAAACACCCCTGTCACTGTCAACCAATCAGATTATAGCAATCTCAGAAGAATTATATTCCGGTACATATTAGATACATTCTCATCAGAACAGCAAATTTAACAGTTATTGACGAACAAAACCTTTTGTATTATTTACAATCCTTTGATGGGTATGTATCAGGACAGCGAGTATATCAGAAATTCAAATTCTCATTTGTTACAATCGTTCATGAAGGTTTGAAAGCTATGAATATTTATTGGCACAGTAAAATACTGAAATTGATACTCAATGTATTTGATGGCTTGATTGGTATACCAGGTTCTGGATCAATATTGAATAGATTGAATACTGCACTACGGTTTGCAAAATATCTTCTCCCAAAACACGAGGTTGCGGCTTTCCAATCCATTCGGAAATATATACAATCTATGCTCATATTCTGAACTTGAGAGTGAACAATATTCAGCATTTATCTCTAAAACTCATTGTTTTAATTGATAACAGTCTTTATAACATGTATCCTGATATTTTGTATTTTGTAAAAGGGTAGGAATTTGACGATGTCCGTAAGATAATATCTGTTCCACCTCACCTACCTAGTAACAGTATGCGCCCAAATTCCCCCAAGCCTTTAGAATTAGGATTATGAATGCTTTTGATTGAGAATGTCATATTCAAGCTGACTGGCGATCAGTATAGCACTCAATTGCTTGAACGTTCTCAGTGTAACCCAATTCAGATCCTAAAACCTTGTCCGATTTCATAGATCGATTGAATAATATAGTAGGTTACAAAGGGTCGAATTGATCAGAAAACTTCTATGGATTTCTAGAAGTTTCCGTCGATTTTAAGGGTATGAGTTACTTGAGATTTGTGATTGCTAAGCTTTCTTTATGTATATTAAAGGGCTTTGCCCTCGATTCTATTCTTTTTCTCTCTCTTTTCTTCTCTTTCTTTTGGTACGCAAAGGCTTAGGTAATCTACGCTGGCTATTGCTATTCAAGTACTATTTTCTCTTCCTTTATAAGGAGGCCATCTCACTTCTCCGACCTTCCCACCGCTAGACCTAAACTACTGTAAGTTTCTCCAACCCCTCTCACTCATTAACCTACCAGCCCCTATGACCATCTCCCGTACCCTGCGGAATACTCGCTACCCAACTCCCTAGGATTACGTTGCGTCGTAATCCGCACCAGACGCCATGTCCACCCTCAACCGACCTACATGGGTCTCATCTAACAAAATCGAGTAGTTTAACCATCAATACGAATAGAATACTGCTGCCCTGTTTGACCACCTCCCTACTATGTTTTAAAGCATCCGACACGAGAGGGATAGTGCTCGTACACTGCTCTCTGCCATCCACAAAACCATTGGCTACCTGGAAGAGCAAGTAATACAGGTCAACCTTGACCTCAATGTTGACCACACCACCTCCGCCCCCAATGTTCCTATCCCCATTTTCGCTGCTACTGCATCAACCACTGTCTCCACCTTTGGGTCTGAAACTTTCCCTGAAAAGTTTGATCGCATCCGGACCAAAATCTCCGGATTCGTTACCCAACTCCGAATGAAGCACGAAGTCAACCATAATCGGTTCCGCAATGGGACAACAAAGGTTATCCATGCGGTCAGCTGTTTGGAGGGAAGAGCTCTTGATCAGGTAATACAACTTGTTAACGCCAATCCTGCTGACTTCTTTTCCTCCGTCACCTTCTTTGTCGCCCACATGAAAGGCTCATTTAGAGACTTAAATACCCAAAGTACCATCCACCGCCAACTCGTCCCCCTGAGGCAAGGCAAAGGAGACTTTGCCACCTACTACTCGCAGTTTATCAGAAACATGTCTCACTTGCATTACAATAAAGGGGTCAAGATTGACGAATTGGCGGAAAGATTGTCTGACAACTTTAGAGACGTCATGACCTATCGAACAGACAGACCCAATATGGTGGAAGCATATGCGACCATGTCAGTGACGATCGATAAAAACATGTGACTGAGGTACTACGATGAGGCACAACCGTGATTTGCTTTCGAATAGTGTAAATAAAGAGAGCGAGTTTTGATGATACTCGTTCAGAAAGAATAAAAGGGAGTTTGTATGTTTGAACGTTCTCAAGTCTAGAAAATTATAACTTTAAGGGGTCTTCTCTCTATTAAAGATCCGTTGATGATGAGAGGCCAACCTGCGGCAACACCGAGTCCCTTATAGGAATAGGGCGCATTTGCTCAAGTTCATTTTCCGACTGACAGTCTGCCTATTGATAGTCAGGGGTACAGCAACTATTTTCTATCAGGGGAGAGGAGAGTAACTACGACACCTTGGATGAACTTCTGTCCGAGTCAAATCATTCAATTTGCCGAAATCTGTGGTTGGAATCTCAAGAACTATTGGAAACAGCCGACCAGATAATAGTTGTTTATTCTAACTTTATTAGAACCGATTTGGGTGTTTGTAAACCGAAGTTTTGCTTTAGTAGCTTGAGTCGCACTCCCACTCCCCAAAGATACTCTGGAGCAAAACAGGAGCATTCCGGCAGTTTGACACTGCGGAGGTTAGTGTTGGGGATTAAAACGTGTTTTTGGAATTAGATTTTCCATTAACTCCGGGACACCGCCAGAATCATTTCTGTCGTGCTAAAGCATGGTCTTTCGGCATCGGTTGGAGATATATGAAACCTGAAAGATTCGACTGCCTAGGTAGGGAACTGCCGTCCGGGGTTCCCTGTGCTATCAGCCATCTTTGTACTTCTGTTCCAGGCTTACTCGGCCCCCTATTTTTGATTTGTAAGACTTCTTACTCATTGAGATCACTGTCCTCTATACCAATAAAGGTAGGAGCCTAACTGCCCTAATCTTCACGCGTCGATGAAGAACAAGCTGCTGTTACTTTGGGTCGGTGGCTTAACTGATGGAATAGGTTCTTTTGTAACAGCCTGATAGTGGCACTGTTACATTACTCCCCTCTATTGTGGAGTCGTTTTGAGTCCACTGTAGTGTTACTGGAATATTAGTATTTGGCATAAAAGAAAAACTGTAGCTCTATTAGTGATTACGTACAAATTACATCTCTGTTTCTATTTCCATCAGAGAAAGAAAACTCTAACATGAAATGCCTTTTAAAAACAAAGAAAATGACATATTCTCCACTCTTGTCATAGAACCTTTCGTCCCACTAGTGGAGATTTCGAGGTTAGCAAGAATCTCTCTTTTTCCCTTGTCTTTTTTATGCGGGTTTCCTCACGCTTCGGTTTTCTATCGTTTCTTGCATTGTTTTCAGGGAAAAATGGTATCCGAACTCTGTCAGACCGATAAAAAACCTGGTACAGGAGAGTTGGTTTTTGTTCCCGGATTTCTTCTGGGATACAGAGCTACTCACGCCGTGTTTTGAGGATCCATAAAGTTTCCCCGTATTTTCCGATGTTTTTGCGGGTATTTTTGATGAAATACTTTCAGGGCCTCATCGGCTCTTCCTTGCAGAATTTCATATGGTTCCCAGGAGTCTTCCGAACGATAGCCTTCCCAAACAATGCGATACTCTACAAACACTTTCGAATGCCTAGCATATTGCCATCTGCTATTAGCTATTTGTCGGAGAACGTGACTGTATTCTCCTTCGACCTCATCTGGAGTAGGAGGGACTTCAGTGCGTCGAGGGTATTTCAGTCCCAAATAGGACTCCAGCAGAAATATTTGGAAGACGGCATGAATGTTCCATTAAGAGGGAAGCTTCAGCGTGTAGAACGCAACAACAAGTTTCTCATCAACCTCAAAGAGACATAGTTTCTTGTAGTCAAGCTTGCTTGAGGGTCGATTGGCAACCATATTGCGTCGGTCCATCATCACCTTATCCCCATCTTCAGGTTGTGGAGGTTTCATATGCTTCTGGTCATATCATTTCTTCTGCCGGGCCTGTGTCTTAAAAATATCTGTCCTCATAGTTTTCCAAAGAGCTTTCCACTTGAACTTTGGTACGGGACTGGAAACATTGGCATTGTCCAGCTTCCTTCTGCGCGAATGCCAATCGGAATCAGGCTCGAACCCATAGTTCGCGTAGAACTGAGATACTTTAATGGACTATTGGGTTGCCGTTTTGTAGGCGTACTGTGCAAGCGGCAGTAACCCTGCCCAATCGTCCTACTGGTAGGACCAAAAGTTTCTGAAATATTGCTCTAGCGTTTGATTGACCCTCTCAGTTCACCTGTCAGCTTGAGGACGATATGCCGTAGACAGACAAAGGTTGACTCCGAGAAGCTTGATCAATGAATGCCAGAACTTGCTTTCGAATCTGAAGTCCCGATCAGAAATGAATAATTCGGATAGTCCATGTAGTCGGCATATTTCTTGAAGGAATATCTGCGAAAGTTCCTTGATTGTTGCCTCGGTCTTGAGCGGTATGAAGTAGGTGATTTTTGTAAAGCGTTCAACAATAACCCCGATACGGGTATAGGCTTCAGATTCTGGCAAACTAACGAAAAAGTCCATAGAGATGGAGCTGCAAGGAGTATTGAGGACCTCTGAATATGGTAGCATCCTGTACTTTTCATGACTGGAGCTTTTATTGCTTTGACCTGTATCGCAACTCCACACATATTCTCCCATATCATTGTCCATCTTTGGGCAAAAGAACAGTGCCCGAAGATGCTCTGCAGTTTTGAATTGACCCAAGTGGCTTGCGGGCTTCGAATCATGTAGGGCGCTAATGATTTTTGGTTTGAGCTCTCGGTGATTTGGGATGTAGCATATTTTCTTCTAAAAGACATCACCGTGTCTCAAAGTTAGGTTTCGGTCTACTGTCTTACCGAAGGTGTGATCCACAGCCTCCTCTGAGGAGAATTACTTAGGGTCTGAAGCTGAATGAGGCCGGATTTTGTCCAGAAGCACCGGTGTGAGTTTGCAGACCTGAGGTGACTTTGGGTGTTAAGATTTGATCGTAACGGTTGGTGGTTGTACAGAAACCATTCTGCTAGGCAACTTAGGACAGGATTGTTCGGTTGGGCGAGAACCGTACCCGTACAATTCCCGATTCCGTTGCTATCCGTTGGCCAAAACGAATAGAATCCATCAGCATCGTCAGGTATGTGGGTAAAAGGCAACATGATTTTGATATCTGGAGCGGAGGTAGTGGGTGGGGGCTGTTGATTGTTAGCTTGGGTAACCTATTGCTAGGGGTAGATAGGGTTAACTGGAATGACAGGCCAAATAAGGGTTACAGGCCAAATCAGGGTTAACTAGGGTTAGCTAGGGTTAAGTAGGGTTACGGGCCGAACTAGGGTTAACTAGGGTTAGCTAGGGTTACGGGCCGAACTAGGGTTAACTAGGGTTAGCTAGGGTTACGGGCCGAACTAGGGTTAACTAGGGTTAGCTAGGGTTACGGGCCGAACTAGGGTTAACTAGGCTTAGCTAGGGTTACGGGCCGAACTAGGGTTAGCTAGGGTTAAGGGCCGAACTAGGGTTAGCTAGGGTTAAGGGCCGAACTAGGGTTAACTAGGGTTAACTAGGGTTAGTTAGGGTCAGTTAGGGTTAGTTAGGGTTAGTTAGGGTTAGTTAGGGTTAGTTAGGGTTAGTTAGGGTTAGTTAGGGTTAGTTAGGGTTAGTTAGGGTTAGTTAGGGTTAGTTAGGGTTAGGGTTAGGTTAGGGTTAGTTAGGGTTAGTTAGGGTTAGTTAGGGTTAGTTAGGGTTAGTTAGGGTTAGTTAGGGTTAGTTAGGGTTAGTTAGGGTTAGGTTAGTTAGGGT